GGCTTTTTTGAGTTTGGGCAAGGACACAGGGGCCCCATGATCCCCTATTACCCGGGGGCCCCATGAGTTGTCAGTCCTCCCCTGCTCTATGTCTTTTTTTAATAGTTTCCTGTTTCCTTGTTTCCAATGAGGCAGAAAAGCAGATATGGAGTGTGCACTCTCTGTTCTGTACGGCTGTATACAGAATTTCTAACATTTTACAACACTCCCTTACTCTATACATCAATAGTAATCATGAAAATGAATAATAATGGCCAGAATAGAAGCACAGCCTGTGAAAGCTGGAGTGTCCCCTTACATTAGTGGTCAGTGGAAAAATGCCTCTACATTGATGGTCAGGGAAGAAGTGACCCCTTGCATTGGATGTCAGTGGAAAATTGCCTTACATTGGTAGTCAATGTCGGACAGACATTAATCTGCCATTGCTCAATGGTCAAGGAACCCCCCCCAGCAAACTCTGATGCTTTCATTCACAACTGTTTTTGTATCTTTTTATTATATATTGCAGGGATGTGCAATTCATATTGCCCGATGCCCATGACATGCAGTTCTGGTCGCCGGGCAGGTAGTTTCTTCTCGCCTTTAGCCCTGCTGTGGGCAAGCAGCAGGGTTCACCTGTCAGGTGGAAGCCTTTGGGCGGCAGCACTGCCGCCCAGATTGCTTCCACACAGCCCACAGTGCCAGCCTCTCCCCCCTGCGGGCCCAGGACTGGTTCAGTGGGTGCCAGTGGGATGTGGTATAGGGGACGGAGGAGAGTGGACACATCCATTGCCCTCCCCTTCTTGTCCTGACCTGGAAGTGATGTGACGTCACTTCCGGGTCTCTGACAGATTTCCTGTCATTGAGGCCGGGAAAGAATGTAATACAGTGCGATGTGCGTCCATGTTACAGGGGTAACCAGGGGCGGACTGACCATTTGGGAACTCGGGGACTGCCCGAGGGCCTGGGGTCAGTAGGGGGCCCCATGAGATGCCCCTGGTACCTTTTTCATAGGCTTTTTTGACTTTGGGCAAGGACAAAGGTGCCCCATGATCCCCTATTGCCCAGGGGCCCCATGAGTTGTCAGTCCACCCCTGGTAGAAAAAAAACATAAAAACCATACAAATTCAGTATTGTATAAAGAGGGGGCGCTGCTCCATACACTTCCAGCAAATATATAACACATTTTGTCAATGTCGTTAATTGTGGAGAATGTGTGGGATTAAAGAAATATTCCCAAGGTTCAGACAAAAACATGGATCCAGCCAGGCATGACTGTGATGAATAGGCCCTTGTGTAAATTAAAGTAGTTGTTATAAGCAACCTTGACTTGTACTGGCCCAGAACAATCGCTTCCCATAAACAACTGCTGTAGACATAAAGTACAACGATATTTTACAAATGAGGCATTGCCTATTATGAATCACCGGAGAGCAATAAAATGATGGATACCTCTTTAAATTGTTAGTGTCTGAAACAGAAGGTCACACAGCAATGGGGGATATTTACTAAAACCGGAGCACTCAGAATCTGGTGCAGCTGTGCATGATAGCCAATCAGCTTCTAACTTCAGTTTGTTCAGTTAAGCTTTGACAATAAAACCTGGAAGCTGATTGGTTTCTATACAGAGCTGCACCAGATTTTGCACTTTCCAGTTTTAGTAAATAACCCCCAATGTGAGTGAGTGTATGTGAGCGAGTGTATGTGAGCAGGGGTAATACAAAGGGATGCCAGCTTCTTAAAGTGGTTGTAAACCCTTGCATATACTGTCAGGTACCGACTGGCGGTGACTCTAGAGATCCACAGGCCAGGATTCCCCAGGGCGCGGAGTCTAAGCCTCAGTCTGCTTATTCACCAGAGCCCCTGATGGTGGGGATGGACTTGGAGCAGGCTGAGACCTGGTCGCGGCCCCGAGTACACCCAGCTGCGGTAGAGGTCAATGCCAGTGGCACGTAGCGGGTGAGAGTCTTCTGTGAAGGGGTGGAGCAGATATGGGCCATAGCGGATGGATCCGTGCAGGATGGATGGACGGATGACACCGTGGAGAGATAGCAAAGTCAGGCAGGCCAGGTCGGGTAACAGCGGAGGCGAAACGGTACAGAGCAGTAGGCAGAGAGTAATCGGGTAACGGGCCAGGTTCAGCAGCAGGAGGTCAGATAATCAGGAACAGGCAGAAGAGAAGTCAAGACGAGCCAGGGTCAGGGCAGGAGACGGTCAACAGCAATCAGGGTCAGGATAGGTCGGCAACAAGGCAGTCTCAGGAACAGAACAAACAGGAACAAGACCTTACGGCAATTTGAGCACTGCAAGGGGTCGATTTAAATAGTGTGCCCTGCGCTGTCATTGGTGCCAGGTGCGCGTCCTCATGCACGAGTGCGCATGCGCGGCCACGATTGTTGTCGCAGTAGCCTATGTCCTAGCGCCCGCATGCTGGTGTGCATTGGTATTCTGCGTATGCGCAGACCCGTGGGCCGCGGTGGACCTTAAGATCCCTGACATATACGCAGTAAAGTGACTGGTCTCAGGTGACACACAGAGATGAAGCAAATCCTCCTACATAAGTTGTACCTGTTTATTTGTATCCATCTCTTCTTTACAGCCTTCTAAAGCACACATTTTACACAGCATTTCTGAGCACTAGAAAGCAGGGGGCATGGACCTGATATCACAAACTGCACAGCATAGAGCAGGGAGCTAAGTGTAATCTAAGACCTGAGTGGAGGGAAATGACACCCCCTACACAGTCTCATATGGAGACATGCACAGCTGAGGCTGCTTGAGAGGGAGGCGGGCAGGGCTGTCTCCTGGGATTACTTGGTGTCGACATTGACTGTCAGAAGTGACTCAAGCAGATAGCAGAGAAATGAGAGAGCAGACAGAAATTACATTAGGGCTTTGGACTGAGGCAAGTAAACCTTATAGAGGCATATGCTTTGCTCATTATTCATTTCAGAGGTTTTCAACCACTTTAACCATTAGCTGCCCAAGCCAATTCTGACTTTTCTCTCCTACGTGTCAGCTTTTTTTGCTAGAAAATTACTTAGAACTCCCAAACATTATATATATTTTTTTTTTTGAAGCAGAGGTCCTGGAGAATAAAATGGTGGGTGTTGCATTTTTATCATGTCACACGATATTTTCGCAGTAGTTTTTTCAAATGCAAATTTTTGGGGAAAAAATACACTTTATTGAAGTTTAGTGCACAAAAACACAATATAATACCCAAGTGTTTGGTAAAATCTAAACGATTATGTTTTGCCAAGTAAATAGATACTTGGCATGTCACGCTTCAAATTGCGTAATCCCGTGGAATGCCGACAACGTACAATACTTAAAAATCTCCATAGGCAATGCTTTAAAAGCCTTTACAGGTTTACAGTTACACAGGAGGCCTGATGCTAGAATTATTGCTCTCACTACGGTGATAGACGGTTAAACTAGATGGACATGTGTCTTTTTTTTTTAACCAGACTAACTATGTAACTATGATGTTCACGGTGCAATCGCTGTTCGCCTTTGCATGTGAACACAAGGGGGGTGGTGTGCTTTAATTTTTTTATTTGAAATTTTATTTTATATTGTCTCTTTATTTTTTTTTTATCAACTTTGTTGCTACCACAGGGAATTAGCAACATCCTTTGTGATAGCATGGGCCGTGACAGGTCCTCTTTACTGAGACATCTGAGGTCTACTAGACCCCAGATTTCTCCTCTGCCCTTAATAGCATCTGATGATCAAGATCTGTTTCATCAGATGCTTTCACAGGCCGATAACGGCTTGTTTACATCAGACCGAAATTGGAGGTGACTAAATACGCACCACTTCCGGTTTTCCTTCACCATAAAGATGATTGGGGTTTTATGCAGTAGAAGATTTTTGCACACATGTTCTATGAACTATTTTGATGTTATAGCTTGTCAGGGCTTTTTTTCTGTAAGAACGCAGTTCTGGCACCTCCAGCACTGAAAGTATGTGGCAAGGGGTGCTGGGGTGTGCTGGAGGGTTCACTGATGCTAGATGCTTGGGAACCTATTGTTGCAAGGTCTGTTGTTGCTGGAGGGTCAACTGTTGTTGCGAAGGATCTATTGTTGATGGAGGGGTCTATTGTTGCTTAATGCTGGGAGGTCTATTGTTGCTGGCTGGTGTCTATTATTCCTGGGGTGGATCTGTTGCTGGGGGGTGGCATTTTGTTACAGGGAGCCTGCTGTGGCTGGGGGGGTAGACTATTGTTGCTGACTGCAGGGGATCTATTTTACTGTATTGTTATCATTAGCAAATTCCAATCAAATTACTTAGCACCACAAAATCATACTTGATTCTGTGTTCTCTTAAAGGGGCAGTACTGGGAGATGGGTAGGGGGTGGAACCAAAGTACGGTGCTCAGAGGTGGGTATCGGGCAGAAACAAGGGGTGACTCAGTGTGGCAGCACCCATATATTGCAGAGTTCCCCTTTAAGCTCTAACATTTCTAAAAGCATCTGTTTGCAGAACCAGGCCATCAGCTCACTTCTTCCTCCTCATTTCCTGTGGAACAATATGTTCCAGCCTAGCAGCTGCAATGTCTGTGAAACCGCAAAGGCTAACTGCTCAGAATGCATTTTAACGGTACAGAAAAGTAAAGAGGAAATATATGCATTGTGACGTAATTGTTGGTATGTACACATGTAAGATACTTTTCAAGGCACTTAGCTTTGCAGACATTAGTCTGGCTAAGTCAATTTATACAGCTGGTAAATAAAAAGCTTGTTTTCCTCAAGTTCATGTCTGGAGTTTTCCTGGAATTCCCAAAGTTGCTGTTACATCAAAAGTAGGGAGTACCTGCACCTATTCTCTCAGAAAAAGGGGCTATGAAATTTTCGGGGGGATCTATACAAGCACTGTAAATGTCACTTTTGTGTTGCACTGTGCACATTTGTATGAGTTTTGTTTTATTATGATATACGGTATATTTTAATCTAATTGGATTTTTGGGATATATTTCAGACAATTTAGGAGGTTAATAAAGACTAGCTCTGTACTTTAACCACTTCCTGTCCGGCCCATGTACATAAGCGGTTGGACGGGAGCGGTGTAGGAGCGGGTTGCTGTTCATAAATGGTGCCCGCATTTTCAAGCTGTGCGCGCTCCCTCCGGACACAGCGGGACACCAATCGCTGTATGGGACCTCTGTGTGAGGTCCCGATCATGTGATCACTGATTGGCCAATCAGTGACCATATGAATAGTAGTAAGCAAGATGTCACTTCTGACATCATTGCTTACTACTAGTGAAATCTGTGAATGATCACAGAGGTCACATGGTACAAGGCTATTCACAACAGCCTTGTACCATGTGACAAGCTGTGACCAATCACAGCTCTCACAGAATTTCTCAATGGCTGCAAGAATGCAGCCAGAGAGAAGGAGAAATAATTGCTTTTACAGCCTTTATGGGTGTAAAAGCACTGTACTGCTAGGGTGACTGTATGTTAAAAAAAAAAAACATAAAAATAATATGAAAAAATAAAACATTTTTAAAACAAATTTTTAAAAATTATAATTTTTGATTATAAAATAATTTGTTTTTTTTTTTTTTTACTAAAAAGATAACCAAATAAATTTATGAAAGATTATTTATTTGCAAAATGTTATAAGAAAAACACTATTTTTCAAAATTTTTGGATATTTTCATTTATATAGCAAAAAAAAATAAACATCCATTGGTGAATAAATACCACCAAAATAAAGTTTTATGCTAAAAAATTCATATGGGTACAGTGTTGCATGACCGCGCAATTGTCATGCAAGGTGTGATAGCACTGAAAGCTGAAAATTGGCCTGAACTGGAAGGGGGTGAAAGTGTCCGGACTTGAAGTGGTTAAGAAAAAACTATTATTTTTACGGCCTTTGTGCATATGTTCACAAAGCACAGATCTGCTTTAAGTGGAGCTGGAGGAAATAGTAAGCCTGGACCTTCTCGCATAGCAGACTCTTCCTAACCCAGTATGATGATATAGATAGGCATTTAAATCAGATGGTAAAGCAGAAAAGAGGGTATGTAAAAATTACATATGTATCCAGGACTGTATTTCTGCTAAGTGCTGCCCCTAGGCACACATGAATGATGTATCCTTCAGTACAGGCTACATTCCTATAGTCATAAGTAGGCCAGCGCAGTAGACATAGAGAACACTCACAGGCTTCCAATCCCTACAATGTAGAGCAAGGGGGCATGGAAGCCTGCTACTTGATCTAGCCAGGCTCTTGTCACCCCTACCCTCTAATTGCTGCTGGTTTTACACACAAGGTTAAAGAGATGTCTAGACTATACCAAATAAATAACTAGGTAAAGAAATCAGAAACATTTATGGCATGATTAATATTTAATTGAATTATTCACATTAGGGAACATTTATTAGTTTGATGACGGGGATTCCATTAAAGTGACAGCACACTTGCTTCTTTTCTTTTCACGTTTAGAATCCAACATTCAGGGTTCCCACATGCAGCAGCCTGGCATTATATAAAGTTCAGAGCCAGGCTGTTTTATTGTAATTGATTAAAGAAAGCAGAATTACCCTTGGTACCCATGATCCGGTGCAGAATGATGTGGGCCTTATGGTAAACATGGTCCTATATCATCACCCTAATCGTCTTTGGCGCAATCCAAAAAAGACAAATATCTTTTGATTAACCGCTTGTAGACTGCCTGCAATTTACTGCGGATGGGTGGCCTGCACAGGCAAAGCGACTTACTTTTTTGGATTGGTTTTGTAGCAGAAAGTAATAAAAAGTTGGGGGTTTTTTAAAACTTTTCAGTCTTTTTTTCTCTGTTTGTTTAAAAAAAGAAATATTAAATTTTGTTTGCGTACAGTTTTGCATGACCGTGCAATTACCAGTTAAAATAAAAGTGCCAAATAGCAAAAAAATGGCCTGGTCCATCAAGGGGGTAAAACCTTCTGGAGATGAAGTGGTTAAAGGAAATATATTCACTTTTCAGTGTTTTTCAAGATTTACATGTAAATAAACTCAGTTTGATCTTTCTTATCCTATAAATGTGTGTACATGTTTTGTTGCTATGAACAATTTGTAATATATGTATTTGGATAAGGGGAAATATTATTATTATTATTCAGGATTTATCTAGCAACAGTTTTCTCAGCGCTTTACAATATAACGGGAGACAATACAGCAACAATACAGTTCAATACAATATGGTTAGGAGGGCCCTGCTCCTTGGAGCTTACAATCTAAGAGGGAGGGGCTAGTGGTACAAAAGGCAGCAATTGTGGGGGATGGATTGGAAGGAGGAGTAGAAGATTCCATCATTAGCTGAGGGCAGGATAGGCTTCCCTGAAGAGAGAGGTTTTCAGAGATCACCTAAAAGTGAGCAGAGTAGGCGATAGTCTGATAAATTAGGTAGAGAGTTCCAGAGGATGGAGGAAGCTCTGGAGAAGTCCTGGAGATGAGCATGGGAGGATGAGACAAGCGAGCTAGAGAGCAGGAGGTCGTGCGAGGAGCGGAGAGTACGGTTTGGGTGATATTTGGAGCCAAAATTGGTGATATATTTTGGGGCGGAGTTATAAATGACTTTATATGTGATTGTTAATGTTTTGAATTTTATCGGTTGGGCAATGGGAAGCCAGTGGAGGGATTGGCAGAGAGGGGTGGCAGATACAGAACAGTTAGTAAGGTGGATGAGTCTGGCTGCAGCATTCATGATAGACTGAAGAGGGGACATATTTGTTCACTATATACACTGCTTCTTGCTTTTTAGTGCTGTGCAATAGCTGTTAACCCCTAGGCACCAGCGCCTCCCGGCCCTTTAAGGGGTTTGTGATGCCGGGAGGTGGGGCGGGGTTTAGGGTCATGTGACTGCTGTGATTGGCTGTCACATGATTAGAAAGGTCCCAATCGCAAGTAGTGGCAGGGACCTTTCCATGAAGTGCTGGTAAATATGCTGGGGTGCGCACTCTTGGCACGTTTGTTTACCTTCGGTATGCAAATATGTGGTCGCTTGGCATCAAGGCCCAGATGCGGAAAGGCTGCATATTTGCATACTGTTAGCATGAACAAGTTAATGCTTCTACCCACAATGCAAGTTTATGAATCAGCTGACTTTTTAAAAACAATGCACTCCCTGTGTGGCTGGTATCTTATCTTTACAGTTGTTAGGTTACTGTAGTAGTTCATTTTCTCTGTCTTGTGTGTAGCTAATATACAAATTTCTATATTTAAACTAACAACAGGCAAGTCGTTATACTCACTGTGGAACCTATGGGGTTAATCCTCTGCATTTTGTAAAACTTTTCTTGGGAGAGTTTATGTGATCAACACAGGGCCAATCAGCGCTGTCCAGACAGAGGTCAGGGGTTATGCAGTCTCATGGAGAAGACTGCTATATACTGCTGATGAGAAAAGGTATTTAACAGTTTATATTTACTTTCCATGTTCTGTGTATTGTGGGAGATCAGATATAGTGAATGCAGGGTCCTGGGAGAGCAGATATAGTGAATGCAGGGTCCGGGGAGAGCCAGATATAGTGAATGCAGGGTCTTGGGAGACCAGATATAGAGAATGCAGGGTCCGGGGAGAGCAGATATAGTGAATGCAGGGTCCGGGGAGAGCAGATATAGTGAATGCAGGGTCCTGAGAGACCAGATATAGTGAATGCAGGGTCCCGGAGACCATATATAGTGAATGCAGGGTCCGGGAGAGCAGATATAGTGAATGCAGGGTCCTGAGAGACCAGATATAGTGAATGCAGGGTCCAGGGAGAGCAGATATAGTGAATGCAGGGTCCAGGGAGAGCAGATATAATGAATGCAGGGGCCGGGGAGACCAGATATAGTGAATACAGGGTCCAGGGAGACCAGATATAGTAAATGCAGGGTCCGGGGAGACCAGATATAGTGAATGCAGAGTCCAGGGAGACCATATATAGTGAATGCAGGGTCCTGGGAGACCAGATATAGTGAATGCAGGGTCCTGGGTTTAGTAACACTATTACACAAAAATATGGAAGAACAATCATACAAAAATGTCACCTCTACTGTATAAGTTGATTGCATTGTCTGTAAGGTTCCCGCATCTAGCGCTTTGTAACCTAACATTACTCTAATAGTCACCTTTATGTCTGTATGCTTAAAACTGAACATTATTGAAATGATTTAGTAAAGTAAAAACTTGAATTTAACAGAAAAGTAATTTACTGTCAATTAAATATTTCAATAATAAAGTTCAATAATAACGTCTCACCTGAAATACTCTATATTTTCTCATCAATATGTTTCGATGCAAAAATGTCCAGCTAATTAAAAAGCAGCCTTACCATGACAATGTAAAATACAGTCATGTTTCCAGTTTTCATACATAACAAAATAAAATATAGGGACAATAGCCCTGATTCATCCAACTTCCATGGCAGTGCTAAATGGTGCATGATCCATGCTAACAATAACATATAATAATACTGACTGAGAACTCTCTTTAGCGTGCCTTTAAGCCGAAATTATGTAACAGAGATAGATATGCAGTCAGGTAATCATTTGTATTAACAACCTCCAATGTATAGTCTTAGCTCCATTTTCCTGTTACAGCGGTCAGTCAGATAGTCTAAGCATGACTGTGAAGTTCAATAGCCACCAGAGTTAAGCTGGCCATAGATGGATCATCCCTGCTTAGCTAGCCGAATTGCGATCAATTGGTGGGCACTCCCACTACATAGAGGTTGATCTAACAATTGGCCTCATCTTGAACGGGACTGTGGGAAAATTCACATTCGATGAGAACTTGCAGCCAATCAGCTGTAGCACTGATCAGTGTATTCTGAGAGTAGAGGAGTCCCGCTGTCAGAATACAACAGTGCAGCGGAAATTATTAATTTATCCACCTGGATTGTGTGGATCAGAAAATCCATTTGTTGATGGCTGATCAAGAAGTGCACACTGCAATGAAATAGATTTTGTCAGACACGCCCCCTCCCCTTCTGTGGAATACAAGCCTTGTGCTGAGGGGTGTGGCTGTTACTCAGCTCTGCCAGCATAGAATACTGCAATGTGAGAGCAGATACCAACAATTTCACTGAGAGTTAATAATATTTTAAAGCATTTGCAAGCAAAAATCTGTCACAGATACTAACAAGCATGAGCCCAGGACTGAAAAAAAAGATAAAAAGGAGCGAGACTTCAGTTGAGATTTAAGGTACATCAAAGCCTTTTTGTACTAATATTGTACTACTAAGACTAAGACATTTATTCTCTGCCCTAGGCGGAAGGAAAAATACTAAGACGGATATAAAAAATATAACTCAAGGAAAGAAAACATCTAAATTGGCTACAGCAATCAACTAGAAGTTTGATGTCATTTTATTTTCGTTGCTAATGAAACGTTCTTGCAATCAATAGTCACACATCACTGCCAATGCTGAAAACCACACAAGAAAGGACATTGGGACTTTTCATTTGCTACCTACTGATATATGTACAAGACAATGTGTCTAAAAATGTTTCTGTTATAAAAATATGTATTAAAACATGGAAAGAAAGGACTGCATGTTTCCACAAGTATAAAGTCACATTCAGACTAGCTTCACACTTGTGCAGGTCACCTCATATGATTTGCACAGGAATCGCACCGCATTCCTGTGCACATCACATGCTATGTCTGTGCGGTGAGGTTTGAGCCATACATTTTGTATGGCTCAAATTGCATCGCATTCGCACCAAAATGGTGCAGGACCCTTTTTTTCCCTACATCTGATTGGGTGTTCATAACTGCGCAATCTGATTTCTGGCAGTCATACTGCGTTTTGCAATCTGTTTCGGGTGTCATTGATTTAACATTGCATGGATGCCGTGCGATTGCAATGCGGTATGGGAAATGCACAGGATTTGCTGCATTTCCCATATCGCATTAGGGTGAACCAGGTCTCAATGTCTTTCAAAATCAAAGGTAAGGAAATTCAGATATGCGCCTGAAGTAATCAATAGGCTATGAGTGAGATCACCGCACTTGTGCTCTTTTGATATCTACGGGTCTCTCTGCCATGGTGGGAGATTCTCTGTGAATTAATGATGTAGTTGTGTGGGAAGAGCCTTGGGTAAAAAATATACAGTATGCTACACTGAGAATAAGGGGATTGGGGGTGCAGTTTGAGGAAGGGGGGTGTGTGGAGTGTGGTCATGGGTGTAACATGACACATGGTCAGAAAGCCAGACTTAGCCTTTAAGTAAATTGTAATTATGACAATGAGACACATGTGGCTTTCAATGCATTTTCCATATTGATGGATCTACTTTGGCAGAAAGCATACATTTATCTATGTATACCAGCCAGTCCCTAATCTCACCTTGCTTGGTATATATTCATTCATTCATGGATACATACATAACATTATGACCACCCACATAATATTGAGTAGGTCCCCTTTTGTCACCAAAACAAACCCATCGAGGCATGGACTCCACTAGACCTCTACAGGTATGCTATAGTAGGAGATCCTTGCCTCCACCAGCTTGCTTTCTTCTCATAGTGCATCCTGGTGCCATATCTTCCTTAGGTAAGAGATGCACATGCATCATGCATACATGAAGGAAAATGTAATTCATCAGACCAGGCCATCTTTTTCATTGGTCTGCGGTCCAGTTCTGATGTTCCCGTGCCCATTGTGGCCAATTTTTGCTTGGACACACTGACCAGTCTGAAGCTACGAAACCCCATATACAACTAACCGTGATGCACTGTGTGTTATGACACCTTTCTATCAGAACCAGAAATTTTAACTACAGCATCTTTTATTGGATCAAACTACTTGGGCCAGCCATTGCTCCATGGCCACCCATGACGCTTTTGTTGGTTTGCCAGTTTATCTTCCATGGACCATTTTTGGTAATTTCTGAGCACTGCAGATCAGGAACATCCCACAAGAACTGCAGTTTTGTAGATGCTGTGACCCTATCGTGTAGCCATTACAATTTGGTCTTTGTCAAAGTCACTCGATTTCTTCACTTGACAATTTTTTTCTTTCAGCACATCAACTTCATGGACAACATGTTCATTGCTGCTTAATATATCCCACCCACTTGCAGATGCTATTGTCATGAGATAATCAGTGTTATTCACTTCACTGGTAGGTGGGCATAATGTTATGACTGATTAGTGTATATTCTTTCCATAGTTTCCTGATGAAGCAAATCCATTGATCTGGGAAACGTGTTGAATGCAACCCTTTCCCTGTTATTCATAATTAGCATTTACTTAAGTGAGAATATCATTGCACCTTGGAATTTATGTATTGTGCTGGATGGTGGGATCTTCAAGGGTATTTTGAAATCCTGAAAAGCATTGAATTCAAATTTATACCATTTGTGAAAACATAAATCCCTTTTCTCCTATGTGTTATGTGTTTTTACAAATTTTGCATAATAAAAAGGACAATTTTTTCAACAAGTTCCATTGTACATGTTACATATCAGTTGGTAGCACCTGAAAAGTCCCAATGTTCTTTTCTGGGGTGTTTTCATATTTAATTAGGGATGTGGTGCAATAACAATCTGCCAGCCAATGACTATATATAGGTATCACCGCTAATACACTAACTTTCTTAACCAATAGTTTAGAAGAGAGACATTAAAGCACCTAAATTCAAAGAACCAAGTCGTGAGTAGATGATTGCCACTAAAAATACATCAAAGTCATGGTATGGATACAACAGGATCAAATGTATGAAGGTGAGATAATTAGCTCTATTCTTTGTACGTTTCATCCTTCTCCTTCCACTGACTGATTACTAACATATAAGAACACTTCTCTTGATACAATACATGAATCCCTTGTGTAGATAAGCTGGAAGGATTCTCTCAGCTTCAGACTACACAGCTAACCGCTACATAAAGCAGAAAGATGTAATCAGTATATTAGAGAACGAAATAAACTGCGGCTGATTAGAGTCAGTTCTCAATAAATTGATATTTCAGAATTTTGGTAGATGCTGGAAAGGTAGGTCACCTTACAGGTCATCATGTCCTTCTGGAGGTGAGGTCTCTGCATTCTCAAATGCTCTCTGATCAAATGTGGCAGCCATTACACAAGGGGTTGCGTATTCACTTTTTGGAGTCTTTATTTCCTTTATACTGTATAGAATGAAGTAAAAGAGGACTGCATGGAATGCTTTCCCCCCACCAGGATTTGGCCCTAACGTGAGCTCATTTTGGTGGGTGGAAGAGAGTATGGGGTTTCCTCTATCCCCTTCCCCTTTCATTCTGGGGGTTACACTTGTTGGATAGGAGCAGCATGGTGAGCAAGGCAGTAAGCACACAGAGTCCTAATTTGCCAGAAACAATGTATTATAAAAGTTGCCAGAAACAATGTATTATAAAAGTAGTACAACCAGCCCCAGTGGGGGGTTTCCCCAACTGGGACCACTTACAACAGTGCAGTATAGAAACCGTGGTCTGAAGATTTAGTGATGCCAACAGTGTCTGCCATGAGGAGTGGAGTGCAGCCTGGCTGGTCCAACTGAAAGGGCAAGCTTCCTGAGAAGGTAAATGTAGTCCCTGCTCTCTCCTTATTCCTCTGGAACCTTTCCCTACCGCTAGTGCTGTCCCTAACATACAGGGAATCTGTCCCTACACTACCCACTTGCATAAAGCGTGCCAAAACCCGCCGTCTGACCTAAGATGGTTGCCAAGGTCACCGCATCACTGCCCCATGTGAGAAACTCAGTTTCCCTCAACTTCCTCTCCCATCTGCATTGCTGCTGCAGTTGAACGTCACCTACAGTGGAGAATATAGACTGCACACACTTCACCCCCCCTTTCCTCCCCCACCCTTTTTTCTTCTCCTCTACCCCTCTTCCCTAGCACGTGGCTTGTCAACTCTCTATTGTTAAGAAGTTTGGCCACTAGTGGGGACTTTGTTCCCTGGTGGAGAGTCTGTTTTGGTGCAGACATTAGAGAACTCAAAGATTGAATTAGTGTAACTTATAGAGCTGGCCAATAGCTTCACGTGTTATTGACTCTTCC